TCAAACCTCTGCTTGGAGAGTAGCATGTGGCAAAAACTCATTGAAGTCATTCTCCCTGTGTGACACACATTTGAGGGGGCAGCGATAGCAATCATCTGACCTTTGACACTTGTCGAACCACTTCTATTCAGGGGCCGCTAACCCCTAAAGTCTGAAAACACCTATTTGCTGCGCAGTCATCCTCACGACTGTCTACAGTACATTTCCAGCCAAGTTAAATTTTCTCGCCATGAAATCCTTCGGTTCAGTGGTGGCGGCGGCAATGCTGTTCGTGTGTACAGTTGTGGTCTGTCTAGTCTTAGTCATGGACAGAGACACTGTGGAGTATGGCTTTAACTCCGTCATGAAGTCTTACGCTGCATCTTCAAGGTTTGTACGGACCTCTATACTATAAGGTTCAGTAGATAAAGTCTTCATCATGATTCTAACGATGTCATGTACACGGTGTGACGATTTGACCACAAATGTCAGAGGAGAACTTGCGATTTCCAATTGTTTATCTTCTCAGAACTTTGAGTGTCGACAACTTTTGCAGTGCCACTAGTCCCTGTCCCCGGCAAGGCTTCGCTGACATGATACGCAGACAACTACGGGCGCTTTTCGATCCAAACAAGGAGGCTAAAAAGGGATTTGGAGTAATGATGACACGTAGCCGCTGCCTTTATAGCAACTTTAAAAGACGTCGGTTACATTGTGAATGAATCCATTCTTCCTTTAACTGGTTTTTAACTAACGAGCTATCTATACACAAAAGTTTTCTGTTGAATTTTGTGGAAGTGAGGGTGAACATATATTTGAGTAACCACCCACCCCGCCCCAGAAAATGTTACTCCTTTGTCAATGACTTGAGCTAATGAATTTATTTCTTTCATTTCTTGCAAAGAACGAACCACAGAAGTTGCGACCCCATGATTTGGTCCAAGGCAATACAAAGAAGCCAGCTATGTTTTCTAGACATTTTGGGTCATAAAAAGAATTTCAGTTAACCTTAACAGCACTGGGTGAATTACATAAACATCGCAACGCAAATACACAAACAGCACTACATGCGCCCTCTTGCAACTTTATCCAGAAGCTCAGTTTACGTGGCAAGTGGCAAAAGTATGATAGTAATTGTTTATTGCAAATTCTTGCCCGAGGGCTAATTGCAGAAACAGAAGAAATATGGTTTAAAAACAGGCAATTAGTACATATAGAACTATTGATAACTACTAAGAAACTACTGGTGAAAAAAAACTACTGGGTTTGACTTCTTTTTTGAAGACAGAGGAAGACAAAGGGTCCCACTTTTTCTATAATTTGTGGGTTTTCGGATGTTAAGAGGAGAGTGGTTTTCTTTTCATTTGTATATGTGTGAAAGTTTGGGTAGAATTTGGAGGCTACGTCAAAGAGTTCATAATTGCTATACTAGTACTGTATCATGACGTCAAAGAAAAGCCTCTATGAGCCTCGCCTTTCAATCCCAGCAAGGTGGCTAAAATAGAGATAGAGTAATCATGACACGTAATCACTTCCAAAAACTATCCATGATGTCATTCTAGTATTACAATAGCTAGGTTAGCAATACTAGTGCCTATCATTATTCCTATACAGACCATTGGAGCCTTTAGTCGAGGTTGGATCACGAGAACAACTGGAACGCCGTGATGCCAACATGACCGAAGTCGGTAGCAGAGGCGTGTGGCCTTACTTTGGAGCTGACTTGCCACCTAACAGGGTAAATACAACTTGAAATTGTCTTCTATTTAGAACCCTTAAGTGCCCACTCGAAAATCTTGTTGGAAAATAATATGACTGAAAAAATCTAGTTTTAACCTTAAACATTTACTTAAAACTCTTGTTCCAACACAAAGAATTGTTCTCACCAACCTAGAGCTTGGTTGATAAGAGTTCATCTGTGTTGGTAATAACATGTTAACATGTACTTTGTATGTTTCAGCCAAAGCTACGGACGTGCGCAGATCCGGTCAAACACTTTGTCTTCATCAAGACCCACAAGACAGGTTCCACCACAGTCTGCGCGTTACTGTACCGCTTCGGGGTCTCCAACGGGCTCAACTTCGTGCTTCCCCGCGTCCCCGTCAACGTGGGCTGGCCGTCCTACCTTCGGACAGGGGACTACATACCACTGAAGGAAGGCATAAAGAACTTCGACGTGCTTGCCGATCATACAGTGTACCACAGGCGGATCATAGACAATCTTATGCCGGCTGATTCAGCTTATATCACGCAGTTGCGGCATCCGTTGCATCACGTCAAGTCAGTCTTCAACTGGTATAACGTCCCGCGTCAACTCAACATGGACACCCGCGGGAAGAACCCGCTAGAAGAATTTCTGAAAGACCCTCTCAGATATGAGCTGCTGCAGAAACTCATGTCGAGAGACAAGAATGATAAACATCACCCTTACTCGTTTACTCGCAACTTCATGTCCTTTGACTTGGGTTTTCCTCCAGGTTTGGCTGAAGACATGGAGGCCGCGCAGGCCTACGTAGAGCGGTTGGATCGGGAGTTCGACTTGGTTCTCATACTGGAGTACCTCGACGAGTCGCTAGTCCTCCTAAAGCGCACCCTGTGTTGGACCGTTCTAGACATCGTGTACAACATCTTCAACGAATCTCCAGGTTACCGGTTCAACATTGAGTTAACGCCAGAGATGGACGTTAACTACCGTGAATGGAGTAAGGTAGACTACCTCCTGTACGAACATTTCAATACTTCTCTTTGGAACCGTGTGTCGGAGTTGGGGGACGATTTTCTCCAAGAGGTGGCACATTTTGTCACAGTGAAGAACCAAGTCAAGGCGTTTTGTGAGGACGGTAAGAAAGATCAGCTGGTCATTCCGGCGTCCAAGTGGGACAATGACTTTTCTGTAGACCAGAAGTTCTGTCGCCTGTTTAAGACGACCAGAATGTCGTTTTACAAATACCTAGCGCCGCGTCAAGTCGACAAAGAACTCTTGAATAATTACACGTCGAAGGCCGGTGCACCCGGCAAAGGGGACAAGAAGAAACAGAGGAAAGAACAGAAACAGAAGTCAGGCAAAATGCGAAATATTTTCGGTTGAACAGATTAAAGAAGTGGAAACTGTTTTGATAACAGTTGCCAAGTGAACTAGACCTAGTGCTTGAATCTAATCTATCTCTAATGTACCTCTGATAATCTACCTCTGTTAATGCATTATAAACGTAATCATGTACATTTTGTAGTGGTACCTAACTTCAACTTCCTTCACACTAATAGACTTCTAAGTGTAAGGATTTGTAACAGATATTGCTGAGCTAGAATTTAACAATGTGCATGTAGAACAGAATTTGTAATAAAAAGTTACTTGATATTTGAAAGCCCATGGGTATGATGCTTACTTGTGATACAGAGGCTGGCTTGGATGTTAAGAGTGATGTACTTGTGTGATTTGTGGATGGGTAAATAAATCGACCGTACAGCGAGGACACTCGGCGGCTAAAACCAACCACTGTACCTGCAGAATCATAATTCTTGTGCAATAATACCTAAAACTGTCAGATGGCGCTTTTGATCCATGAGCTTTTACTAAATAAGCTGGTTGCCTGGCTTTCGCTGAGTGAGTGCTTTCAGACGTTCAGGCTAGTGTGGCTTTGTTCAACCAAGTGGGTTCGTACAACTAAGTACAACAGGCACAAACGATAAGAAAAACCGATATTTCAAGCAGTTTATTCAGAGACGTCATCGCAATACACCATTGAGTACGAATAAAAAGATATAAAGAGACGGGGGACAGATAGTAGTGTTCTTGAATGATTCCTCCGACCTTCAAGACTAGTAAAATTATCCGTACAATGTCAATGGTTTGCCTTGACAGGAAGCTTTTGAAAGCCAGGTTTTAAAAGTGAATTTCTGTTGTCTTTTTTTTACTAAACTTAACTCTAGACCCCAAGAAAGCTTTTAGATTCCGAATTCAGATCGTTCCTAGAGTCAAACTACCTTTCTTTTCACCATAATGTCCATGCAAAAACCATATTTCCATAACTACTACTTTTTTCATTAAACCAATTCACAAACGCACTAACTAACCGACCAATTAACGACAAGGTAGACTTTTTTTATTGTCCCCTCTACTATGATGGAATCGCCCAGCAATACATATCCCACAATACCACACTCCGAGCGCGAGCCTTTCCATCATGGCGTTTGGAAAACATTGAGAGGTTCTAAATTGTCTAGATTTCCCTTCTTCCAGTTAGTTTCCCCTCTCTTCGGGCGCAATACTTTCATCTAGAGGCAGTATAACGTACATCTGATTCACCATGTAGGGATCAGTGGATAGTCGTGAAGTATGGAGGGTATTAAAGTAGTTTATCAGGGCTCGAGGAAAGACGAGGAGTGATCTCGGCGCGGCTCCGCTATGGAAGGCCAGCCGAAGTCGGGGCCCGGGCAGCCCGTGGTTGTGGAGGTGGAAGGTCCGCCAGAGGAAACGGAAGAGAAGACAGAAGGCGACGCCGAGTCCCTGTCGTCCTTCCTGACCAGGCAGGGGCTGGGGAAGTACGCGGACGTGTTTCCAGCGGGGACGACGCTGGGGGACCTTCGGGCGATGACCGAGGACGACCTGCAGTTTGAGTACCGAGTGACCGACCCCGCCGGCCGGGAGCGCCTGGCCAGGGCCATCGCCACCGCACGGATGGAGGCCGAGGAGCAGGAAGAGACAGAGACAGAGAGGGAAGAGGTAGGTTCACTTCGTCTTCTTCACCCTAGGCTAGGAAAAACACAGCCCAGCCGTTTGCATTAAGTCTGTGCCCCGAGGCGAAGGCGAAGTGTAGGTATAAATAACACAAACAAAACTCTTCAAATCACTTGCCCAACAACTTGGACAGATTTTGCTTCGGGCATACACTTCTGTAGACACAACTGCACACACATTTAATGTTGTATGCTGTTATCTTATTGTTATACACACTGGCACATGGAATTGCGATAACGATCAAAACCGCCAGTTATTATTTTTTGTTTACATACACTTTGAACTTTGCTTGATCATACCGTAGGTATTACGTAAATTATGCTTTCCCATGACATGTACACATGTACATTACCGTATTTGAGGATCACTTAGTCATTTGTAAGCTGGGTATCTGGTTTGATGTTAGATTAGACTAGATTAGAAGGATGTCTGTCAGTGTTGCTAAGCTGTACACTCATTGCTTACATCCTGACAGCTGTCCTCAGTGATCAGCTGAAATCAATTATTCAAATCTCTGGAGGACAGACACCAAATTCTGTGTATTGTTATGCTTGGAGACAGCGGAAACATTATTGTTGTCATGGCAAAACACTACTGTGATGTAGATCTAGAGAAAGAGAGGTTTCTTTGATACACTTTTAATTAAGACACTGCATATTTTTCAAACTGATGTTTGAGATCAACTTTCCTTAATTGCAAGTTTTAACCATAACTTGTAATATATACACTGATCAAGTCAGAAAATGTTGTACACTGTTAAGAAATTATCTTCTGAATTCATCAGACGCCACAGGGATTTCGCAATACCACAAGTGCGCAGAGAAAACTCTGAGACACTTGTGTGCATGCAGGACATGTCCTCTATGTCCGGTGTCATGAATTATTTACAAATTGGCTGTATAAAACCAATTTGGAAACTAGATTACCACTCGTCACCCGTGCATTACTTGTTACAAACCAGATTGGAGCGGGGACATGCACGATAGCGTCCGGGACGCGCGGCCTGAAATCATTCTGTCTCGTTTGGGGAGCATCGATGTGATTGAAAAGGGTTTATAATGTAACTTGCTGCCTGTTTTAATTTCATCATAGTTCGCCCAGTCCCTCTCCCTGCTGCCTAACTCGGTAACCAATTCAGGTTTGGTGCCAAGAGGCCATCTCGGTAGAGTGAAGGTTGACATATTCATGAGGTTATCACAATTATTTTATGCTCGTCAAAGTTTTCATCTTACGGTTCATGTGTCTAATATGATTATGCTCATCTTTGATAAATAAATCAGACCTGGTTATTTCAGATTAGCACTTAATAAACTATTGGATCTGTGAGGATATTTTTGATGTCTACATACACCAAACCTGTACTGGGCTATGATAGAATCAAAGGATTTCAAACACAGCATTTTTTTTGTTCTATTTTATTAATTTATTTCAGCTTTGGTACATGAATGTATAACTGGACAGGGGTTGACGTCTGCTTGGCTCTGTAAAATAAATTGCTAGCTCCATGCAGGGAAGCTGTGGAAGTGGGCGTTACGCACAAGTACACGTAAAGCCATCTGATTTCATGCTGCACCACTCCGATACGCAGGAATGGATAGGGTCCATCAAACACATGTCAAGGCTGTTATAACGTGCGTAAGTGCAGAACCTGGTTTATCCATCTGTTCTTATGGATTGGCTTGAAGGCTACTTTTTACGTCCATTTGCTCTTTGCGATGACGAGAGATTTGGAGGCGGTGGGAAAAGTGCTGCGCTGCAGGGTGACCTTTTCGAGGGATTGTCCTGTCAGCGAGACGTATGAATATTGCCGCAAAAAAGGGTCTAATGTTGCAAATCTTGTCAAGGAAAATGGATGAAAGTGCTTCTTAATTAGCGCCAGTAAGGCATTGCGATGCTATTGACTGATTACGTTCTTTTGATAGCTTTTGTTTTGGTGACATAATTTCAATGAAGAAATGCTATTTTGGGCCCTTTTGTACATGTATGGTACACCAATATTGGCCTTATTTGGGTATATTACATATACCTTACCTGGCCTTTTTTTTACTTACACAACATTCCCACCGTGATACTGAAACCATTGGTCCTTTGGCCCAGATGAGGTAATGCAATCCTGGCCAGCCTTCTCTTCTCCTGTGACTGTAGGACCTTTGTGGCTACTTTGTGAGGCTTTGTTACCTGATTGTGAGCAGAGAAAGGCCCGGGTGACACAGAAAGTCCCAGGTAAACATGACGGCTTTGAAGCCAACTGTGGCATGATATGGGAGAATGGAGCGATACATTTCACATGGGGAGAGGGGGGAGGGGCCGGGGAAACAAACCTGTTAATTTGTCCGTCAAGGTCCAAACAGACAAAACTGTTTGTGTTCAAACTGTCAGAAAGGGCTTAGTCAATCTGTTACTGTGTACAACCAAAGTGCAAATGTTTTGCTAATTCAAGTCAGAAACAAATCATTGTCAGGGCGGTCCACAGAATTTTACAGCAAGGTTGTGCCGTGGAATTGGGAAAGGGGAAATGCAGCAAAAAACAAGGAAATTTTGACGAATCTCAGCAAAATTTTCTAAAGTTGAAAAATTGACAAAGTGGTACTGATGTTATAACTTAAAACACAGTCACTATATATTATACACTTATTCTGGAGAGTACTCATTTTTTTGACAACCCAGTCATGATAGAATAATGAACTGTCCCCGAGTTCGTTCACCCCTCCATTCACCCTGAGCTGGAGGTAAGACAAAGCCTGGAAGACTCCACTGTTCCTAAGTAAACGCCGCTGCAGTATTTATAGCTAATGAGTGACCACCTGTACTGTGTCTTTTCAAACGTTGCAGCCTGAACTGTACCTTGAGTGTTGATCTAAACTCAAACGTTCCCGACTAAGGTATCAGACTCTCTCGCCTGAGTTGCTTTCAGTACAAAGCAGCTTTCTTCGATCACACTCACACATTTTCCAAGTTGACACTTGTAAAACAACCCTGCCATACGAGTCAAAGTGAAGACAATGCATATTCGTGTGTTGTTGGTATAAATCCTAACACCAAATACTCATATGTACTCAAATGGGTAATTTTTTGTAGGTACAAGGATACATGGACATTTTAGCTATTAGTATTACTTATTGTATTGTGCTCCATTGATTCAAGGTACAAAGTGATACGGATTCGCATAGTCAGCAAATTAATAGTTAAATCAATATCCCACTTGCTTACAATGACCCACAAATGCATAGTTTTTCTTTATTTATAACTGTGCGTAATGTTCCGTACGATATTCGAAAATAAAGTCAGAATCTGATGATATTTTTGGAATACTTACACTGGGTGATTTCCTGTAGTGTTAACCAGATTTAATGAGATGGTTAGACGAATCATTTTGATATTATCAGCTATTTTCTGGAAAAATCAAAGCGAGCCAGTGTTCCAACATAATGCCTTCCATCCTGTAACTTATGATCCAAGTATTGGAGACTAAAGCCTGGCTTGAGGCCTGATAGTTCCCATTCCCAGTAACGAGGCCGTGTCTGTGGCAACACAGAGCAGTAAAGTCAGGAGAGAGAGCCAGGAAAACCCTGCGCTGCCAGCTATGGCCCAGTGTAGCTCGTGACTAGTAGGATTCATAAACCCACACCGTACTGCCGTGCGCTTAGTAAGTCTCCAATATCCCTCTCACAGCCGTATGTCCAAAGGCAGGGATTGACTAGAAGAGCATAGAATATCCTTCCATTTATAAGACGTATGGGTACGGTTTTCTTAGAATTAGTATTACCGGTGGCAAGCCTTATGTCTGGAGTCTGCAAGATTGTGTATAGACTCTGAGTGCCAGACTGTTGCCATGGCCAGTACACGGGCTATCTTCACTGCTCCAGGGCCGACATGCCCCAAGGAAATTTCACCATGGACAGATACCGCTCAGTCAAACTCTGAGCTTCTGATAGGATTATTTACTGGGGCCTGGTGTACTTACAAATGTACGAGAACAGACTCAGAGTCTGAATGTATGTACATGAATGTGAAAGAGAAGAAATGGAAGGACATTCAATATTCTTAATATCATAAAAATTGAAAATCCATCCATTGCCTCATCTTTAGTACCTTCAGTGTCCAATATGTGCATATATGGCAAATGTGTGTGTATGATTGAAGACCAAGTCGTTATCATGCATATAGACACACGTCTTGCTGCACAAGGTGTCAGGGAATATTTGATTCGCTCCATAAGTTTCGTCACGAAATGTTGAGTGCGCCCCAGAAAGCCACTTTACCGTCGTAGAGACCCGTGACTGCGAGCACGATTTTATTGGATTCCCCTGATTCATTACCTGGTAAGGTGGGGAAAGCCGCAACTTTGGAATCCTGGATTATCAAGGTGTAAGGTTTACTGTCCTACTTGTAAAGTGAAGTCTTACATCGTACAGTTAACTTAAATCGCATGACGTCACATCAGTTTAACTGTGGTAGTGACTCCTTGAAAGCCATCTGTAGAAGCACATTTTCATTGGATCACTTTGATTCATTACCTGGTAAGGCGGGGAAAGCCACAAGTAATGGGAATCCTGGATTACCAAGGTGCTAGGTGGACTGTTGTAAGTGTACGATTTAACTCAAATCATATGACGTCACTTCAGTTTTACTGTGGTAGTGACTCCTTGAAAGCCGTCAGTAGAATCACATTTTTATTGGATCTTTTTGATTCATTGCCTGGTAAAGCGAGGAAAGCCACAAGTTGGATTATCAAGGTGTTAGCTGGTCTCTTGTACCTGTAAAGTGATATCTTACGTTGTACCATTTAACTTAAGTCGTATGACGTCACGTCAGTAATACTGTGTTAGTCAACTTAGTGACTCCTTGAAAGCCGTTGGTAGAGTCACATTTTTATTGAATTCCCCTGATTCATTACCTGGTAAGGCGGGGAAAGCCACAAGTTGGAATCCTGGATTATCAAGGTGCTAGGTGGACTGTTGTAAGTGTACGATTTAACTTGAATC